AGCTATGCCGACGGCCACCGTTAGGACCGTCGGCATAGTTTTCACGGCGTCAACCCGCCGTCTGAGCCGGGGTCGATGGGCCCATGTATGTGCCGACGGTCTTTCTACGCCGACGGTCCCCGTCGGCATAGTGGAAGATACGCCGACGGCCTTTCTACGCCGACGGCCCCCGTCGGCATAGATGGAGGTATGCCGACGGCTTTTCTATGCCTACGGTCTTCCTGTGGCCGTCGGCATACCGTCATCTATGCCGACGGGGGCCGTCGGCGTAGATAAAGCCGTCGGCAGCAACAATTATTCTGGTAGTGATACTAGTCCGATTAGTGCTCCAACATGAAACCGACTAGGTTTAGCTATAGGGTAGCTAGCTTAGTATATATACGTGGGTACCTCCTTGTAATCTTTCAGCCAGAAAAGAGAGAAGTAATACAAGGCTCGATAGGAGCCTTTGGCCATCATATCGATTCGGTGTCTTCATGTTTTGTTCGTCGAAGTTTACAAGTCGCTGTGTTCCGCCGACGGTGCCGGCAAAGTTGATTGCTCGAAGCAAGTCTAGCTAGCTTACTAGTGATTCACGTACACACATAAAGCGGACAGGGCATAGGCACTGTTTATCAATCAAGCAGTGAGCTTGTGTGCTTGCTAGCTTGTACGTGTGTATACAGCTTCGGGTGATTTGATCTAGCAACGATCAAAAGCCAACACAGCTGACCAAATACTCCACACCCTCCAACAACTGTGTCTCTGCTACCCGCGTCCAGAGGCCCAGGAACCGGTTCAGCGATGTTGCATCTAGATCCGGCCCTATGTCCCCAGCACAGGCGTCATTCACAAGCGCTGCTGAGACCGATCTGGTCCTTCGCAAGCGTCTTGGAACCCTCTTGTAGATCTTCGACGCCGGTTCGCAGATCCTAAATTCCTTGACCCATCTGTCCTCCTAGAAAAGTGTGCTCTGGCTATTGCCCATCGTCCCTCTACCAGCAGCGTGGAACAACGCCAGGGAATCTGCCGGCACCGATATATCAAATTTCATCCATGACCTGGTCTTATCAACCCGCTGGAGCCATGCCCATCGCGCCTGTAGCGCCCTGTTCGACTACTGCAAGTTCGGTATCCCAAGCCCCGTAGCCCACTTTGGTTTGCAAACCATATCCCAAGCGACTGCACAATTCCCACTGTTCTCTTCCTTCTTCCCGCACCAAAGGAAACCACGACATATTTTGGCGAGCGCCGCCAACGTCTTCGTCGATTGATCCAAGGCTGGCATTTTGTGAACTGGGATGGAACAAAGAACGAACGTGATGAGGATCAGGTTTACACTCTTCAATCTATGTCACCTTCTAAAGAGACTCTCAATCTGTATCATGCTCCTCATAAGCAAGATTATTAAAAGAAGGGTGAATATGTGGATTCATAGAGCTAGTACCTTCCACCCACTATCATGTGTCATCCTTAGGATGAGAGATTCTATTGCGCTGATGTTGAGCCAAAGCGAAGCTACGAGAAAGGAGGTAATCTTGTCACCATGTTTGAGGCAATTTACTCATGATCGTTGCATCCAGCGGACTTCCTCCAGCTCAAGTACGAATTCAACCAACTTCTCTTCTTTGCTTCCATTTCATCATTCCCCAGACCCCGAGGACCTAGCCGAGCTTGGCTGGGTGTTCCGGAGTCGCCTATTTAGTTTCTTCAGAATTAGTTGATACCAACCATGGAACATGCTATGCATATACTCTAACTTGGCGATCATGCCACTGCCGCAGCACGCATGTTAGCATCATCCCGTGCATGCTGGCCTTGCTCAGCAAATTGGGCCTCTTTGGAGCTATCTCGCCTCAAAAGAACGCTAGCCCATGGGCCTGATTGTTCCATCGAATAGAGCTCTGTGTCAAGAAGCCATATATTTATTTCCTAAAAAAGCCACATATTCGTTTCTGAAAAAAGAGTCATATATTCCTCTCTGTCTAACCTCTTTGCCATAGATTTTTCACCGTTGTAATACCCCACTAGATCATGATTGGAGCGTGTTGCTGCACCCTCCTATTTTTTTCAATATATTGATAGTACTATTTATATTGACGTGGAAGAACTAAATTCCTATTTTCAATGGTAGAACTTCTGAACCATCATGTAGATGAACCAAATATTTATCATTTTATGTAACTGTCCACTTCTATAATTTCCATGTCATATTTTCCTTCCTCTTAGGTTCATGTCTACCAAGATTTTTGTAGCACCTCATAAATTGGACCATAAATCTACAACCCAACATTTATGACCACCAATGTGCCAAAAGGTGATCGAGAAGGAAAGTGATTAAGTGAAGCCAAATGGCATTCCATGATACTGACTACTATACTAATCTTGACAAAATTTCTCAGCAGGACACGTCAAAATAATAATAGTGTGACATCCTTATAAAGCAATATTTTCTCCTAGTTAGATATATGTAAATGACATCGGCGATACAATTAGAAGATGGTGTGGAAAGATTCGCAGGCTCTGAGTGAATGGATTAACACTTTCAACCATTGGTGCGTTTGATACTCTCAATGTTTAAATCTTATATTTGCATAGAAATAAAACAGTACTACATATATATAGAACCAAAATGCAACAATGACCTTTCTATTCAGATCAATACAAATGAAAATTTAGTATAAATAATAACAGTCAAAGACACTGCAAAAATACTACTTCGTTCATAAATATAAGATGCTTTGGATATTTCAATATGGACTACATACAGATTGAAATGTGTGAACAAACATACTAAAACATGTCTATATACATCCAATTGAAAAAAAAGAGTTAGACCATCTTATATTTGTGAATGGAGGGAGTATTTAGTGAGCTGTTTGGCTGCAGTTTGGTGATGTACAAACTCACCTATTTACAAACTATGCAAATATGAGTATACACTATTATTAGTTCTTACCAAGGGAAGCTACATAATCAATGGTAGCTTTTGATGGTTCAGTGCATGTACAGAAATCACCGGCTGGTCGCAGCAACACCAGTTTCTCAATGAAACTGATGAACAGGAAGATGAACATATGTGAGGACTAAACTGGACTAAACTAAAGATGCAATGCAAAGGGTAGTATTATGATAAATTTGTACGCATCCAGATAAGATGCAACAATGCCCTATTGCTCATGATAGACCGCTGTAATAGGTTCCGAAGACGAAAGTCATATAAAGTAGGATGACTCATTTGGCAAGAAACCCAAGAAAATGTAATACATCTTTATTCTAAAATGTAATGTAAGGAAAAGATAATTCAAGAAATGAAAGGACAATACGATTTGAACAACTATTCATCTAAAGACCTTAAGAATGAAGGGAATGTTTATTGCAAATACTAATGTAAGAAGAAAGAAATGATTCCTATAATGTTTTTATTCCAAATCATAATGCTAATAATTTGGCATATCATCATTGTACTGCAAAGTTATAGCGATTTGCCTATATATAGATAGTAATACAGACCTAATCTTGGGATTGCAAATGCTACCCCCTTTTATTTTCCAACTAAATAACATAATCAGTTACTTGATACGGAGTTAGTGGACATATTTTCCATCCATAGCCTCTCAAAATTAACCATTTCAATCAAAACAATGCTTACCTTACGTCATATGAAAGCCAACACAAATGTGTTTCATCGGAAGAAACATTCCTGCTATCAGTGATCATTAATAGATCATATTGTAGATGCCACCATCCAGTCCAACATACGAAGTTAAATTATGCAAGAACAAAGATCGTGCATTAGTAGTACCGAAGTCAAAATTAATTTCAATTCTTTGTAATCAAGAATCCTCATCTCCAATTAAATATTCCCTCTATATCACAATATAAGACATTTTTGGCCTAGATTTAGGTAAGAAATGTCTTATATTTTGATACGTAGGGACTACATTGCCATGTCATCTTTTTCATTGATCCATAAAGTCCGCCAAGATTTCTAATTTTCGTTGTTACCTAAATCCTAGCCCCAAATCCACAAGCTAAATCACATGAACAAAACCAGGTGGAATCAAACCAATGCAATCCAGACTAAGATCTAACTGTAAACGGAAAAAATGAAGAAATGAAGCAATCAAGAAGAGTTGTCGCAGCAGTTGGCTAGGAAAAGCAAAGCAACATACCTGATGCTCAATTTTGTGGCTCTCCTTCGCTCTACATGATGAATGCGATGTGATATTCACTGATGGTCACGATTGGCAAGTACGGGTTGACCATTCAAGCGGTGGATGAATGTTTTCGATCCCTGATCATCAGTTCTAGTGAATGAAGGACGTCTTTGAACATGACTCATTGCACGGAATCAAATAACGACATCAACTCCTGCGAGAGAAAGAGAGTTGAGGGCGTGCGGAGATGGGGCTCACATGTGGTGGCGACATGAACCAGAGTCGCCGGTTCACCACCGCCATGGTTAGGGCTACCAAGGACCTGCGGGAGAGAGGTGAAAGGGTTTGAGATGAGCGAGCTATCGTGGGAGAAAGACAGATGGGCCGTCGGCGACATCACCCGCCACCAGACAGATAGGGTGCACCACCGCCATGATCAATCGATCCATCCCCGAATCATCCTCTCACCTCTCACGTGACGCCGAATCCCCTTCTCATTTCTCTCGTAGCAACCGAGCAGTTCCGTGTGTTGGAGCATTTTTTTTCCTTCGTGAGGGTTAGCGACCGGGTGGATCAGGCCTTCAAAAAACTCACCAGAGTAGCGGCCCATTAGGACAGGCGGCCCAGCTCACGGCACATTGTGGCTGAAACGAAGATCTGACGGCCAGAAACTGTTCGAACGCATAATCTAATGGTTGAAAACACCGATATAGTGAGGCATCTCAGTTTAGGCTCAGTTTTACTGTGTAAAAAACCCTAAAAGATTAAGATTTGGACCGTATAAAACATCAGACAACCCTCCGCACCGTCCTCTCGAGTGCCCAAATCCCCCAGCGCCGCCACTCCCACAGTGCCTCCGAAATGCCGAACTCGCAAAAGCGGAAGGCCACCGTCGCGCCGGCGCCGCGGCGCCGCCCGCCGCCCCGTATGGAGTACCGCGCGCGGTCCGACGAGGCATGGTACGGCGCACGCGTGGTGGTGCAGGACGGCTGGCTGCGCGTCATGTTCGAGAATTTCCCCGAGGATGCGGACGAGTGGTACAATCCAGGGGCTGACCTCGCATCCCCGGGCGACGTGGACGCGCTCCGCGCCAGGTTTCGCCGGGCGTGCCTCGCCCTCGACGACGCCCATTGTGGCGACCTCCGCCCGGGCGACCAGCTCTGCCTCGCCTGCGACATGCACGGCGGCGAGATCAAATACTACGACGCCGTCCTTGAGGCCGTACGTCCTCCGCGCCGCGTCGCGCCCTACCCAATGCATTCACCACACACATATACGCATGTTGTAGGAGTAGTAATAATTGGCGCCGACCAAACATGCAGGTAGAGAAGGCGCCTCACGGCACCGTGGACGGCGAGGAGCGGTGCGCGTGCCGTTTCACGGCGCGCTGGACGGAGGGGCCGCGCCGCGGTTGCTCGGACAAGGTGGGCGTCGAGGTGGTATGCTGTGTGCAGGAGTCACCGATCCAAGATCCGGTGCTGACCGAGTTCCTGGACCATGTGAGAAACCGGTTCGGCGACGACCAGGAGGAGGCGACGGCGGCGTCTCAGCAGGCAGCCCCGAGCGGTGAGGGGGAAATTGCGCCGGTGTCCAGCCTCACATACTCCTCGAGTAGCTTGTCTTCTTCTTTTTAAGGAAGGTATTATCTCCCTGAGAATTCATTAATCAAATAATTACTTGCAGGTTTGGGCTGTTTGGATTGGAGCCCTGGACTGCCCATCCAAAAGAAATTGGTTCATTGACCGGGCCCAGGCTTTCTCGCTGATGGCCACTAATTATGTGGTGCGCCAAAGCCCGTCTCGGTTCCTTTAGTTCAATTCTAATGACTAGTGAAAAAAAATAGTGCGCCACAGGAAAATAGCGTCGGTTTAAAATCCACCTTTGGTGTACTATATATAATCGTGCTATAGCATGTTACTTCCTTCGTCCAGAATTACTTGTCAGATAAATGAATGTATGTATTTTAATTTTAGATACATCCATTTTTATTCATTTCTGTGACAACCAATTTCGGAAGGGGAGGGAGTATATCGCACTATAGCATGCTATAAACAAGGCATTATACATTCACTGATATAACGATCTATTGCTCAGCACACTACAGCATGCTATTAGGGGCGTTATAGCGCGCTATTTTTTTGAGAAATTCTAAGCCAAACTGTTGGCGAGTTGTCAGGGGAAATAATTGTCTGCCAATCATTTGGCTCATCTACGTCTGACAGGGCGGGGGTTGTCTGATATATATTTGCCTGATTGCGAAGAGCACTGGGCGACACATGGATGGAGATCCTAGTGGTGGCCATGGCCCCGTTTCTAGAGGAGAGTTCGGACATGGTTGCAAACAAGTTATATGCCTCTCCCCAGCGTCTTTCTGCTCCATTCCTGACCTAGAAACGAGTCTTCCCCATTTTTGGGCGACGTCTCCAACTCCCAGACCTAGGGTTTCACCCACGTTTGCCTGGTGCGAACAAAAGATTAGAGGTGATCCACATTTGTTTGCGAAGTAGTTGCCTCCCCGTTTCGTCCTCCTACTTTTCTTCTCTCTGGCCCAGTTGTTATTTGGCTTCTAGCTGCAAGAGAGGTAACTGCCAGGATGGTTTTGGTGATGGGCGATAGGATCGCAATGCTGGGAGGTCTGACTATGATCACGACCACAGTGGCAACGCGATGAGATTGGGGAATTTGGAATCTCTTCTTCGAACAGACTCCAGATCCAGTGGCGCCAAGCATACTGAGATGTGGCCGCCAACAATCAGCCCCCCTGGCCGCTTGGGGGAGCAGTGGGCGCACACGTGCAGCTGCCTGCGAGTGTGGGTCACGCCAACGATACTCGACAACAACCTAAGCAGGCTGACGAATCCTCAAGGGCACGAGCATCCGGCCCCTGCGAATCTTAAAGACATGAATCTTAAACAATAAGGGTGAGAGGGGCCCCATCTAACACCCTTAGCATGCACTCTTAAAATAAGGACCAGCGGTGTTATTCAATCTGACATTCAAATTACCATTTTAAGAGCACGCTTCTAATCTAGTCACACCACACAAGATTAAAACCCCACTCAACATGACAATCCAAAAGGAAATCTTAGTTGACCTTGTTGTAGGCCTTTTAAAAGTCCAATTTAAGAACAATACCAACTTTTTCCAAATGTGACATGATGATGGATCTCATGTAGAGTTAAGATACCATCTATGATATTTCTGAGTTATTTTTCCACGAAAGCATTCTGGTGCTTACTAATCAATTTATCACCAATGGGATCTACTCTAATATCCACTTTAGTAATCCACGTGTAAAGGCATTTAAGCAAGCAAATCATTCTAAATTGTTGAATTCTACTAGCCCGTGAGATTTTAGTAAACAAAGTTATAATACCATAATTAAGCCCCTGGACATCCAATGTCCCAGTATGAAATAATGGAATAGGGCCATGACATAATGCTGCACCGCATCTCACAATTTTGAAAAGAATCCAATAAGTATATCGTCACAACCGGGTGCCCTATTGGCATTCATGGAAATAAGGCTTATTTCATTTCTTCCACATAGAAAGGCCTAATAAACATTACATTATCCATGTGCGTCTCTTTTTTATCCCCCATCATACCAAGTACCCAAGAATAAATTGAAAAGGTGTCTAGGAACTGGACGAAATAAATCATAGTATTGTTGAGTAGCATGAATAAGGAGATTTTCAGTTCCTCAATACACACATCACCTACAATTAAGAAGTGTGTGGTATTTTTTCTTCTCTTTCTGCCATTAGCAATTTGATGAAAATATGAGGTATTTTAATCCCTTTCTGAAACTACCTTTGGTGTCATTGTTTCAACCAACTGATTTCTTCATCGGTGAGGATGTTATTGAGTTCCACCATAATGTCAGGTCTTCTACAATAAAAGCCGGGAGGGAGAGAGCTTAATGCCAAAAGGTCGTGTAACTCAGGGAGTTCTTCCCTAAGATTTTATTTCCTCTTTTTAGAATGCCCAAATTGACTGGCCCCATAAGTTAAAATGTTGTTTAAAACTCTTAACTTTTATATTCATAACATATATAGGGTCTTGAGAGAAAATTCTCT